TCGGGCCCCGGCTTCGCCGGATTGCCCGTCAGGGAAAGGTGGACCGCCCTGCATTTTTTGTACATTTAGCGTATTGAGAGTGCGTGCACCGAAGGCAAAGGGAAAGGACATGCAGGGACCCAATTTAAAGAGTCGAGTCCATCTGCTCAGGGAAGTGCCCCCACTTAAAAGCATCCGGAGACTCCAGACCAAGGGTCATGCCCTACTCAAACATGGCGACAGTTCGTTCAACCGCACCAGCCGAAGCCTACCGAGCCCGAGCCCAGGACCCAGCTCTGGAGCGGACCATATGACAAGCACACCTGGTGCAGGCGGATCACATGATTTCTATGAGTGTTCCTAGAAGACCTGGGGAATTCTGGGAAGCCCTCTCCTGTCATCCAAACACTCGGGACTTAGGATCAAACGTTCGGCGGGTACAGATGCAAGATAAGCGAATCTGGGCGTCGTTTTCCTAGCGGCCCTGAATCTCGATCGTGCAAGCCACCCATCACGGAAGCAAAGTCGTCGAGCCTCGCCTCTCCGCCGGCAGCTGCTTTGGCTGCCAGCTTCACCTAATGTCTGCGGTGGTCGGGTAGGTTGCCTTGTTGCCCCAAACCACTCGAGGGGTTTCCTAAATCCAGCGGAATGTGCGACGCGGATGACACATCGAGTTTGGTTTCCCTTTAGAGGAAAAGCCATCGGGCAGAAGGACTGCAACCCAATGGCCGAGTTTGTCGCGAATGGATTGCCAGGGTGTCAACATCGGGATCCCAACTTCCTCCAGAAACTCTGTCCAAGCAGTCTCAGATGCCCAGTGGCCATGGGAAGAAAGGGCACCCTTTTTGTGTTGGTTGAGTTTAAAGAAATCGAAACCCTTACCCAAAAAGGAAAAAAGGAAGCAACCCACTGGGCAACTGTTGGAGAATGTCAACCCCGGATTGATAAACCCCTGGTTGATTAATAGGGGGGTGCCCCCATTCGTGGGGATTCATCACTTTTGGAGGGAACACCCCCCAATAATGGGACGGGTTTATTAATCTTTGGTCAACATTACTTCCAAACACGAGTCCTTGGTGAGCATGGTGAGGGTGCTCGCAATCTTCGGCAGAGACCGGATTCATCTAACGAGCGAATCTTAGCTGTTGTGGGCTCAAATGTTAGCCGCTACGGGTACTCCCTGTTGCGACTTCCGGACTTCCGCGCCTGCAACCTGCAACGGAAGCTGCAACCCGTGGTTGGTTCCAGCCTTCTCAACCTTCGTTCCGAGGCCCCGTCTATCAGCTGCCTTCGCTCGGCGTCAAAGAAAGGTGGAGCACACACCTGCACAAATTACCAGGCTGCGAGTCGAGCCCGTCTCTTGCGACAAGCCTCAATTTGCCAAAGTCCCCATTGCAGTTGAATCACAGGCGCTTTGCACGGCATGGAGTACCTTTTCGTGCCATTTTGGGCTCCATTTACTTGAGCCACAGCCACATGGTTGGTAAACCCCTGCTTAATGAATAAAAGGGTGCTCCCTTTTAGTATGGATTGAGACCACTTTTGGAGGGAACACCCCCTCCAAAAAGAGAATGGGACGGGTTCTACTTAGATCCTGGGTCCACATTCGGCTCTTACCTACATGGCTGTGGGTCAAATATGGGTACCCAAAATGGAACCCTGGTAAGTGGAAGCATGGACTACAACCTGCGGTTTTCTGGTGGTTTAATTTGACCCATACAGCCACATGGGCAGTAGGCTACCTGAAACCAAGATGCCAGCGCTTGCCGCCAACCAACCGTCGTCCAGAGGCTCCAGCCCCGTGCTGGTGATGATTCAGCAGGTCCACCTGCGGGCAGGTCGACCCGCAAAAAACCGCGCGGAACGAGGACAAGCACTGCAAGCTTTAGATTCCTCGGTTGCTTTCTGCTCCCCTGCTAAAAGTTGAACTTTGAGTGGTTTAATTCGGAAAACCCATTAGTGACATCCAAGCAAAACGCAATCCAGATTAGAATGCGCGACAAATGATGTTCGAAATGAACCAAACCATTGGCAAATCACGAGTTTGATCCTGAAAACTCATCAATTTAATCCCAAGACATCAAACCAAGTCGACAAAAATAAGTGTTTTGATCCCCTGGGACCCCACGCCTCCGGCGCGAGGCACACCACCCGCGCTGGGAACTGCCTCGAGAAATGTGCGACACGTGCTGCCAGATGGAGATGGGTTCTCAAAATGAAACGGGATCCGGCTCGATCCCCGCGGGGTTCAGATTTTCCCTCGGATTCGGTCCCCCCTTTTGAGACGATTGCAAAGGATGCGGCCTGGTGAATCAGGTCATGGGCTCGGAATGGCTGGCTTCTTGTCGCAATCGAAATCCACCAAACAAGGCCAGGGAATTTTCGCAAATGGGTTGGTCTGCAAATTAGGAGACCCCAGGGACACACCCGTATGCCTTCAGCAGCCCACACCTCCAGGGACTGGCACACGCTCGCATTTCAGGGCTAAGGCCCCAGGCACCACGTTTAAGCCCTCCACCTGCGGCGCAAATCGAAACCTCACGATCCCTTGACTCAGGCAAACATGTCGCAGCTTTTTAAAAAAAGTGACGGGAACCCCTTGGCGCAGGTTCGGTCAGATCTTACTCTTACGCCCGTTTCAGATCTGATGGTAGAAGTTAACAAAGGTCACAGCCGAAAGGAAGTGATGAATCTCAAGACTGGGAACCCTTTTGCTTTTTATGTCCCGACCTGCTTCTAACCGGGCACCGTTATATACCGGAAATGTAAAAAAGATGTTTGGTTGGAGGGGGTTAAGGGTTCGGATGGGTTTGTGCGCGGTTCTAGTAGGTGCAAGGGTCTTGAAAAGGGCGAGCTACGGATAGTTGGGGCAGGGCTTAGGAGGCCTTGCAGTGGGCTTAGGGTCTGTCTAAGAATGGTTTCCAAATGGTTTAGGGGGTAGGGTTGGCTGGTTTTTTGATCTCCATTTGACAGTTTAAACTTTAAACCTTTGGCTTCTGGGCCAAGAAAGTGGTTGGAATCTCAGGCTTGAGTTTGTTAAGAAGTGGCTTAGCAATTGGATTCCAGATTGGTAGGTTTAGGCTTGACTTCCTCGCTTCACGTTCTTCTCTGCGGGCCAAACTGCACACAGAACTTGCGTTGGGTTGGTCTACACCAACAATCATTGGCAGCATGTGAATCAATGCTGGCGATGCCACTGATGCTGACATTGCTGACGATGATGCAAACATGGTGATGCAGATGATGCCAGTCAGGCTGATGATGCTGATTTGGCTGATCTGGTGATGCTAGCTATGCTGGTGATGTTAGCTACGTTGGTGATGTTGGCCATGCTTACAACAGAGAAACATGGAGCTCGTCTATCATTGTGCGACGTGCTTCCGTATTCATCTGGAAAAGAACAAGGATGATCATGCCGTAAAACTGGATGACACTCAGAAAACTTTCTGGTTGACAAAGAGGACATTGGTTCACTCAGTTGTGGCGCGCTGACCACCAGTCCCTCCAGTCCCTTCCAGTCCCCTCCAGTCCTGCCTGCATCTCCACAGACACGGCCCGGCTGTCAAACAGGCACCTGGCCCACAGGAGGTCATCGAAGCTCACCTTGAGGTCGATGCCCTGGGTGAGAAAAAAAAAGGGGGGGCTGTTTGAAGAGACATTGGGAGGTCCCCCGAAATCCCCAGCTGGGCATATGTTTGTTTCACCAAACCCAGCTATGTTCAAACCGGAACTAAGAATTCGATCAAGCAAAGGCTGCATTGTGGCCATTTTACCCCGGAACCGTTGCCAAAAAAAGTCCAAGCTACGCGTGTTCCGGGGAAAACCTCTTGGTGCGCTCTGGGCAGCTGGGGAGCTTCCGATTCCCACAAAAGGAAGCGTCTTTGTGGCTGAGCTAACTTTGAGCCAGGTGAGCTTGTGATGATTTGCAACCACTTCTGCGAACATCTGGAACTGCTTCTTGACGGAGCGCCGCTTGAAATCTGTCTCTATCTCAGGGGGTCATCAGCCTGCTTGGAAATCAGCTAAAACAACCGGGTACGTGTCAAAATCGAGGACCCCGAAATGGTGGGGCTTTCTTTTGCTTTCCCTTTGAATCCACGCCAACGAGACTTTTCCCTCAAACCTTCACTTGCAGATCGCTCCTTTTGGACGGATGGATCTGCCGTCCCCTGGGCCGCGGCGCCAGCTGATCGCAGGTTTGCGCCACCTCGCCCGAGGTCGATGTCCCAAAAACCAAAACTCGCTGGTGCCGATGGGTAGGGAATGGCAGCGAGCCTGGGAGTTAGAACGAACCGGTTTTGGGAGGATTTTCTGAAACGAAACCGCCAGGGGGAGGGGTTTTTGTCAGGGTCGTTCCATTTCTCATTCCCTGCGAACCAGCAAGATCAAAGTAGCTCATGTACATCGATGTAGATTCCGACTCCCCAAGCTTTTTTGGCACTTCCCGAGCTTCCCCTTGCGGCTTTGGGCCAGTAAAACTCGCCGTCACCTTTGTCAGCTGCCCCGTCAATGGATCGTTGCAAAGCAAGCCTCTGGCATTTGAGGCTGGCAAGCCCGAGCTGCAAGGTGCACACTTCCAAGTCTTTGATCCCAGGCATGAGCACCAGCCAGGCACGTTGGTACCTGGCACTTCAGAGAGGTCGACTGACTGTACATCGGGCCGAGTAAAACATACGCAACTCATATGCCCCTCGCTCAGCCAATCCGTGGTACCACCTGGTGGCTGGGCGCAGGGTACGCAAGATCACGACCTGCTGCGCGAATCGGTCGTGCAAAGACGCAGCTCGACTTTACAGAGTGCAATCCAGACACTTTGTGGTCAGAGAGCCCTCCTTCCATGCTGCAAAATGGGACATTATCCTGCAAGAAGCATGATCCACGTATGCTCTGCAGGCCAACCTGCCGTAGGTCTGTTGCCTGCAAAAATGTTTGGCCAGGGTTGCTCCAAAGATTCCGGCAAGCAGCCAAGCCCCAACTTCATCCATCCATGTCCATTTCCATTTTCTATCTGCTTCAACCCATCCCACACCAAAACAACCCACTCCGGAGCCTCCCGAAGCCATCTATGCGATTCGCTCCGCCCCGCAACCCGGAGTCTCCGAGTCTCCGAGTCTCCGAGTTCTCAGTAGGCGAAGCTCTCGGTGCGGAGCCGGGCGCTGGGCAGCGAGGCTGTCTGCCACAGAGCCGCCGCGGCCTTCTCGAAGGCCGCGGGGCCGCAGACGAAGCCCTCCACGTCCCCCGCGGGGAGCTGCGCCTCGAGCGAGGCAGGGAGGCCCGGAGGCCCGGAGCGAGGCGAGGGTTGGGAGTTCCGGTGAGACACCGGGGATGCTCGTTTTGGGGGCGTGCCGAAAAGGGAAACCACGAGGTGGGCAGAGGTTTCTCGGAGTCGCCGGTGCTCAAAAAAGAGAAAACGGGGCTTGTCCCAGGGAAACCACAAGTTGTTGGGTGGCGGAGGTCATTCCCTGCGGATGCGTTCTTCCTCGAAACCCCAAAATGGGTCCAACCATTGGTTCAAACGCGCAAAATAATACAAACCTTGAGAGTACTAATCCCCAAAATGAGACACTAAAACATGGTGCTGTAGTTTGCCGTCTTGCAACTTCAACCATTCCAAATCCCAAGGTGGAACCTGAGACACCAAACCTCCCGACACCCACCACACAGATCTCCACCGGGAAGAGGCCCGGCCTTCAGGGATGCATCCATACGACCCTCCAGGAAGAGCGCCTCTTGCGCCTCGGCCGGGAGTGGCATGTTGGGCATGTGGCTGTGGGTCAAAACCCAGGAAAGCCCTGGTGAACCTCAAAATAGGTGGTACCTGGGTGTTCATCCGCCCCAAAATGGAGGCATAGGTTCTGACCCATGACCATGTTTTTGCAATAGGCAGGGAGTGAGACATGGAAATTGGCTCCCCAAGAAGAACCCTCCAACGGGTGGTTTCCTTTAAGGGGACCAAAGCCTGGGTTCACTCATTCCAACATTCCCTATCGCACAAGCAAGTTTTTGGGAACTCAACAGGATCCTTGTGCCATGGCCAAAACCCTGGCATGGGCGCTCCAGGCTGGAGCCCCCTGCCTACATTCCCTACAGGTCTACGAGCATCCTAAGCTGTGAGCGCCCAAAACCCATTGACTTTTGGTTCCTTACTATAATCCTTCTTAAACCGGGTAGTAGAACCACCTACTCCACAAATTCGAAGCGTGACCCCAACCCGAATCCATCCATGTCCATTGGGGGGCTCCGTTGCTCAGATGTTTTGATCCCATAGTGAAGGTTGGGTTTTGGGTCGCATCCACGTTGGTGGTCAGACGATTTGTGCTTGAAAATTAAACCACCAGAATAAACCGCAGGTTTTGGTCCTTCTTTCCATTTACAAGGGTTCCATTTGGGATACCTATCTTTGACCCACAGCCATGCCGAAGAAACCTGATTCAAAGCAAGTCAACCTGCAGCCGCCTTTCCACCGGGCAGCCCCCTTCACTCGTGCTTGGTGCGCCCGCAGCTGCAGAACAGCTTCTTTCGCGTCGGAGGAAGTGATGTTCACGACCTGAGCGGCGTTGGGCTTCATTGCGGACAGCGACATGCATGGCCCAAGGCCCATTGGCTTTTGGTTCTACCAACATGGCTAAGATAGAAGGGTTTATTATTATGGGTCTGTCTTTTTAGGGGACCCCCAAAACGGTTGTTTTGCGTTCGGTTCCGCTTCTGGAAACTGCAGCACCTCTCCGGCCAAGGGTCTATCTTCAGCTTCAGCTGAGGAAGCTTCTTCTTGAGTTCATCGGACACCAGGAGAAAGCCGAGGAACGCTGCATGCTCGAGCTCCTGAGAGGGAGCCAACAAAAAAGAACCTATGCAATACAACCCCCAGGCGTGTCTTGACAAAGGAATCTACCTTTGGGACCCCTTGCATGTTTGCTGGGATCCTTGTAAGGGCGTGTCTCAAAATAGGGGACTCTCCAAAATGGGTGGGTTTCGGCGATGTCCCTCTCGTCTCCCTTCCAACCAACCCCAACCGAGGCGCTCGGAAGCTGTAGAACAGCGTGAAGCTCTCCGGCGCGACGTTGCGGTCGACGAGGCCTGCCGAAATTTCACCACGCAGCCCGCTTCGGTCGAAGGGGCCCCCGAAATGGCGGCTTTGAAGCGGACAGAAAATGGGCGTGGGTATTCACGTGCCACTGGAAATCTCCAACTCTTCAAATAACAAGGCCGTTCCGCGTCCAAGGAAAAAAGTCCCCACGTTTGACGCTTCAGACTTCCCTCTTTTTTGAGTCCATATGGAGGACCCGTTCAGGAATTGGTTTACAGTTCCCCTTCAAACCAGCAAACATGGGGAGGGTATCGAGTTTGCTATGAATGCGCCGAATGCTCTTGGCTCATCAAACCCTGCATTCCTCAGCGGCTTGAACCCGCCGACATTGCGGACACCTAAGAAAGTATAGTAACCCCCCCCCCCCCGGCCAACGTCTGATACGTTCAGGCGGGGGGTTCCCCCACATACCGCGCGGTAATTTGATGACGTTCCAGTCTTCGGGGAGCCAGTGTCGCAAAACAGGGATCGCAGGCTCGATTCCCCCTGCCGGCTCATTGCTGGTTTGGGTTTCCTGCCTCCTTTTGCCGAAAATCTGGAAAAAACTCTGTGTTTTTGGACGTCCTCTTTGCGAAAACACTGGAAAAACCGTGTTGTTTTTGCGGGACATACTGGGGAGCAAAGGGGAAATGCAAGGAAGTGCAAGGAAATGAGGGGAGGAAATAGGAAGTCGACATGACAGGAAAGCAACGGGAAATGAAAGGGAAACAAAGGGGAACTGAAAGGGACATGAAAGGGACAGAAATGAAAACAAGGGGAGTGCAGGGAGAATGAAAGGGAAACAAAGCACAAGGAAACCAATCGGCACGACGGGAGATGTAGGGAAATGACTCGCAGCGAAAGAACGGGCCATACATGGAAAATGAAGCGGACATACCGAGAAAATGTCAGGGACATGAAGGAGGTGTTGAAAGGAATGGAAGGGGCATGACCAGGACATCATGGGAAACGTGAAAAGGACATGAAGGGAAAATCAGGAAAGCCAGTAGTGAGATGACAGTTCAGGGTCATGAAGGGGCCGTGCCCGGGGGACGTGGCGCTGCAATGCAGAGAGAGAGAGAGAGAGAGAGAGAGAGAGAGAGAGAGACAGGGAGAGAGCGCGAGAGAGAGAGGGAGAGAGAGAGAGAGAGACACGGAGAGCGAGAAAGAGAGAGAGAGAGAGAGAGACAGAGACAGAGCCAGAGTCAGAGAACGACACAGAGAAAGAGACAGACAGACAGAGAGAGAGAGAGAGAAAGAGAGAGAGAAAGAGAGAGACAGAGAAAGAGAGACACAGAAAGACAGAGAGAGAGAGAGAGAGAGAGAGACAGAGAGAAAGAGAGAGAAAGAGAGAGAAAGAGAGAGAGAGAGAGAGAGAGATAGAGAGATAGAGAGAGAGAGAGAGAGGGAGATTGCAGAGGCTTGGGGGGATGGGGAGGATGGGGAGCAGAGGGCGGGAGAGAGGAAAACAGAACACACGAGGGAGACAAGCGAGAGAGGAAGGAGAAAGTCGGCGGACTGAGCCGGAGGCTCTAAAGTTTTGTCGAGGTTGTCTTGAGGCGTTGTTTTCACCATCCAACGCTCCGCCATGTTCAAGAGACTTCGCAAACAGACCCCAATTTACAGGCAAGTGGGAGAAATACCAGTAAAAAGCAAAAAAACAACGCAACCTCAGAACTACGACCCGTCCACTGAATGTTCCTTGTGGAGAAGCCATCTCCATCCCACGCCGCAAATTCAAGACCCCAGCCACCGCACCTTTCAGGGCCGCGATGGCTGGGGTGATGCCGATGCCGCCCGCGAAGAACACCACATGCCGCGGCAGGCGGCTGCGGTACTCGCCAGTGGAGGGGTCTAAAAGGGGAGAGAACTCGCCTGGCGCATTGCCGGGAAAGGAACTCGGGAGGTCCTTAAAACGACCGTTTCTGTGAATGTGGACACCTCCCATCCACGTGGTTAAAACAAACAAAATCGGGATTTGGACCCCACACAATGGGCAAATCATTCCAAAGATAATCCACATCAAAAAAAACAAAAATACTTGAACCCGAAAAAAGTTGGCAGTGGTTGCCAAAGACAATCAAAATCAATGGGGCGGTTGTTGAGGGTACCCTTTGTTGGGGGTGGTTTGAAGGAAAACCAAAGGGACACCACCCATTTTGGGGAAAACCCATTTCGGCACATACCCCCATGCCCGAGACGAGCCACCTGAAAAGCCGTGAAAGATGAAGGTCCCATCCTCCTCCTGCGCAAGGCCTTTTGCCAGCTGCTTGTGCAGAAAGGGCGTCACCAAACCGTCCTCGCGGTGCGAAGAGTTCTGGAATTTGTCTTTCAAGAAACCACGACGTGGCATGAAATTCCATCAATCCGGTCTCCTTCTTGTGCTGCACGCTGATTTGGAACCTGCATTCAACTTCGGACACTGACATCAGGCATCGCCAAAGTGTGGTGCTATGCCAGCAAAAAAAGGCAACCCAGGATCCCTCCCAGTACCAAACCCCAGGCTAAACATGCGAAAGTCCCAGTTGCAAACACGAGAAGCTTCCGATAAAAAAAAAGGGTTTATGGACCTGGGCCGGTGACTTCCGTCTCGCAACACCTCCTGACCGCTCCGCCTGCCGTGCTCGTGGAACCAGCTGGGCGCCGAGGTCACCGTCCAGGTGCGCTCCGGAGGCACCCCTTGCCCCAGCGCCGGGAGGCCCAGGCGCACGTGCTGCCCGCTCCTGAGCTCCAGAGAGCCTGGCGAGCACGGCAAACTGCGCGAAGTGGGGGTGGCTCAAAATGAAAAGGCTGAAATTACGCAGGACTTAGTCTTTCCAGCTCCCAAGGAGCCATTTTGGGTGCGTCTTTTTGAGCCACTGCCAATGATTTGGGGCAGAACATGAGCTGTGGCTCTGTTTTTTCAGCGAACCTCGAAACAAATTGTGGATTTCCTTTTGGTTTCCCTTTTGGTTTCCCTTTTGGTTTCCCTTTAGAACCACCAAAAAGCATACTCTTCCACCCACATCTTCCTCCCCATGCGCCTGGCCGGGGAATGGGCGCCAGCTGAAACTCGAAGGTGGCCACCTGGTCAGACTCCGGGCGCGCCCACTGCAGGCGGGCCGCGAACTCGTGCCCGCCGCCGCTCAGCTCCCTCTTGGGCTTGGGGTTGTAGGGGCCTCGGCGTCGGATGCGACGCAATTTTTGTGGCGGAGTTTGAGTGCGCGGAGGTCGTTGCAAGGGATGTTCAACAAGGTCAAGACCGATTTTCCCTGCTGTGTATGGTTCAAAGGAAAAGCAGGACGCGGAAACAGGGACAAACGGAACTGTGTAGACGTAGCTTTACGCATGTAAACATCTAGTTCTATGTGTGTATGTATGTATATATATATATATGTGTGTGTATGCATAATATGCATAACATACATATATTCATATTACGTATCCAGCTGTGTACACAAGCATACGCATGCCAACTCGTCGTTGAGGCAATGCGATGCCCTCCTTTACCATACCATTTGACCGGCAAGGGTCTCAGCTCGACTTTCTCGTAGCGGTGCGGGCAGTAGCCCGGGATGCTGCGCACCAGCTCCACCTGGAGATGTTCTTCTCCATTTTTATTTTTTTTTTAGAAAAGAAAAAGTGCCCTAAAAAACGGACACCAAGGGAATCCTCCCCAAAAAAAGAGGTTGCTCCAAAGACCTGGCACAGAAGCCAGGGGCTCAAATCCAACCAACCCAAAGCGCCAACTAAGGCTGACTCCTGAAGGATAGAAATTCGCCTGGCAAAGACAAAGCAACAGAAGCCAAACCACATGTACGAAAATCCGATCATGTCTTGGAGGCGCGGGACTCCGTAGTATACCGTTCCCCCCTATGCTGATGATTTGTCCTGTGCTTCCTTTAGAAAACGGTCAATTCGAGGTCCCAACGACCCTATCATCCCGCCCTCTGGTGTTCTTGGTGGGATATTCCTTGGCAGTTGTGTGCGGCTGAAGGCAGGCGGTGTTGCCACATGCGCGATGGCTTCACATGCTTTGGGTGGTTTTCTTTCAGTCTCCCAGGAAAAAACCAGGGCACTTTTTTTCCGGGTGGCACAAAGCCGCATGGCGCAGAAACCAGTGATCCAAGAGTCACAAGTAACCTCCTGCGCATGAAACATCGAACGACTTTTTGCCAACCCTTGTGGCACGTGGCAACACCGATTTGGCTTCCAACAGAAAACTTGGAAGAATCAAACCCTACGGAATTCAGCGAGAAGCACCTGCTCTGCTTCCAACAGTTGGTCATTCTTTTTAAAGCCCGACGGAGGATCTGACGCAGTTGGAAGTGTAAGCCGCCCGTTTGCGTCCTACAGGTCTGAACTGCAGTTGAAAAACTTAAAAGCGAATGAATTACAGCAGGCAGTAGCACTGCTTCAAACAGGAATTTGCAATCACAGGCGGGAATATGCATCGCAAACCTGCCGCAGCTAGAATACTGATCGCAGTTGCATGTATCAGTTGGAAACTCAAAATCCAATGAAGCGCAGCATGTCAAAGCACCGGCCCTTCTAGCATCAAGGATTTGGAACTGGAAATGTCAAAGCCGTGCGGAGCCGAGGGGGGGGGAGTTCACATAGCATGGACTTGTCAAAACGCATGGAACTCAACATGTAGCATTGCATTTCTCTCTTCAACAGGTGTCCACAACTGCAGCAACTGTCGCTGCCAACCTGCATTTGCAGCTGGAAGCACCGGAAAAGCAGCATACAGTTTGCCCCACCCATTCAATACAACAACATTTCACAATTCCTGTTGGAGAAACAAAGCTATGTAGTAGCCGCCATGTCCACCTGCAGCAATGTAAAACTGCCGTTGGAAGCTTCAAAAAACCATCGAACAAGCAAGGGCCGGAGTCTTACAGCTGTCTTTTGCTTTAAGGCTCGCTGGGCTTGATGTTGTTGCTATTGTTGTTGCTGTTGTTGTTGCTGCTGTTGTTGCTGTTTGATTGCTTTTTTTTTTGGGGGGGGGGCATTCCAATTGTGGAGAAATTAAGGTTAAAGCCGTTAAAGCCCTGAGGTACAACGAACCTAAGGTTTCGAAAAGAACAAAATGACTCAAGGCGTTAAAAAAAAAGAGAAGATCTTAGTCACTTAGTTCACCACCTAATGCTAAAAAGGAAGAAAAGCTCAGTCACCCCACGGAGATCTTCTCCGCCCCCTCGCCTCCCTCCCATCCCGCGGGCCCGCGGGCCCGCGCCTTGAGCACCGCGACACGCAAGGCCTGGCGCTCATCAGACAGCATCGCCGCGAGCGGCGCCTGCAGATCCTGCCAGCGAGGGCGACGTCCGGGGCTTGTCGTGGAGGCCCTCCGTTGGGGCGGTTGTGGAGCAAAAGGAATGTGGGGTGTTGAGGTGTCCTTGTTGGGAGGTATCAAAAGGGAACGTCCGATTGCAGGTTTGGAGCCGGGGTTCGGGTGGTTTGCTGGATTCCCATTTGACCTGAAAGGGGTTCAAACCCCCAAACCACTAGTCCCTAATCTTTGAGACTACCCTCTGTTCGGGCGGTTTTAAAGCAAAAGGGATGTGGCCGGGGGGGGAAAGGTGTTGAGGTTTCCTTGTTGGGGGTCAACTCCGAGTGAAGAGAGCACATGGTTTGGCTGTCAAGCATCTAGCTTCTGCAGTTGCATCTATGGAACATTCCAAGCTCAATCTAGACATGACATGCCCATTCACACTTGTTGCCTTTCAAGGACCCCCAAAAATTAATGAGCTGATCATCCTATCAGTTGTCTCCCCATCTTGCCTTCGTCCGTCAAGCAGAAGCCAATCTGGGCCACTTCAGAAAACCCCACGGACAAAGACAAAAATGCTCCGCCAAACAACACGCACTTTGCGCCAGGAACCGGCCACAACCCTACACCAAAGGTTGCGGGTTGGTTCAGAACTTCTTTTGATCTTGTGGCGTCCTGTCCAGCCGGCCTAAGTCACTCAAGATGTCCTTCTTCTATTCCAACTGCAAGTCAGCGCGATACGGCCGCACATCGCCCGCACACGCGCTCAAAACGCATTCCTGCGCGCAACGTCAAAAGGATTTGCAAGCTGAAGCTAGCATTCATCGCCTGCAAAAACCTTGCGGCAACCCCATTGGCCACCGCGTTGTGTGCGTCCCACAGATCGCAAGTCGGCGGGAGATCCGGGCGCCGAACACCGAAAGGCAGCTGGAGTTCTTCAGTCGAGGCCACGCCTCCCTGGCTCTAGGCCACTTTCAGCTCCCTACAAGAACCGGAGGTATGATGGTTGCGCGGAAGCAAACGACGATTTAACCATCCAATGCACGGGAGTGCTCATTCGCTGGTCACGAAAACCGGTCGAACTTGCCAGGATTGCTATGGGCCAAGGAGCCAGGACTAAGAACAGCAGATGGCTTCCGTTCTCAAAGCTCCGGCTGTGTGGCTCGCCGAACCGCGGCTGGCCCTGACCTTGCTTTCAACTCGTTGATCTGTTGTTTGAATGAACTGTTTCGCGCCGAGAACTTTTGTACTTGACATGTGGCCATGGGTCAAAATCCCGCACTTCCAGCGAACATCCCAATCCCCACTAAAATAGGTTCTAAAATGGGTGGCGCACTTACCCCGCAATGATACCATTGGTTTTGACCCACAGCCATGTGACTTGAGCGCCCGCTTGCGGGTGATTTTCGCAAGAGCTGTTTGACAATTGCACGCACAATCACAAAGGTTGCCGGTCCCAGGCCGGGGCCCCTGCGCCTAGTTAGATCTTGAGGAAGTGTAGAGGGTCAAGATGAAACAGTTGGCGAGTGTTTCTTGTTTTAACATAGTGAAGTGGCACTGACACCAGTGCTCAGTACAAATCACTAGTCTCATTGAGTGCATTAAAGCAACACCAGTTCCCAATGCTGTTGATGCATGGTTTCAAGCTCTGCTAGAGGAAACCTGTTCAATGCTTCCAGGAAAAACTGCCAACAAAAACTATGACGCGTCGCCAGCAAACCACGCATTGTCTTAGACCCAACCACCCCACAGCTTCTTTGGGCAGAGCCCCCAGACCTTTCAGATGGGGAGTTCTCAAACTAGGGGCCCTTTTTGGTATTCCCCAGGGTCCAAAAGGGACCATACTTTTGACAACTCCCCCCCCCCCCCCCGCTGCTTTGGAAAAACAGATCTCTCCTCACGTTGCAATTTACTGGTGGGTGTCGTTGAAGCTGCCGCTGTCGGAGGTCCCAAAAGCGAAATTGAAGGATAGAAGGAACACACAAAAAAGAACTAAACCGCGCCTCCGGCAGGAGCTTCTTCTCGATCTCTTCGCGCTCATAGGTCTCCATGGTGCCAAGGATCTGCAAGCCTCTGCCGGTGTCGTCCCAGTCCACCACCAGCACGCCCGCCTGGACCACTGGACGCGGGGAAACCGCTACTGGGATTGAATTTTGATGGACGAAATCCATTTCGCACCCCTTGCAGCCCATGGGAAAGCATTGTTTGTTGCTATTGGCAGGGGAATCATCCTTCAACAGGCTTTGAACTTGGAATGCCATAGGTTTCCGCTTGACCCGCTGGGTCCTACACCTCTTTAAGCAAATGTCCAGAGAGCCAACCAGGGCAGCCTGGCACACGCGGATCGAGCCCGCTGGGCTGCCTGGGCTACAGGCCGCAGGCCAGGCACGAAAGCCGAAAGCCGAAAGCCGAAGGCCGAAGGCCTGTGGATTCAGCTTGGTGTTGCCCAAGCTCATGAAGAAGCCATTCCTGGGCTATCAGCGCCACGACGGAACCAAGCCGTTCCGTCGATTCGAGAAATCGGGGGGAGGGGGAAGGACCGCAGTTCCCTCAGAAGTCACCCACTGCCGCCAATTTGGTTGCCTCGCCTATTGAAAGCCAAGACAAGCGAAGCAAGGAGGCCCATGTGCCAGCCAACTGCTGCGCCAAACCTTACCTGCTTCAAGAAGCCGTTGGCTCCTTTGAAAACTGGGCCCTATCCCCCCTCTCCCCCCATCCCCGAATTCCTTCAGCCGGGCGTCCCCACGTAGTCCGGCCATGCGATGTAGCGCCCCTGGCCCAGTGCCTTCACGAAGCCAGGCTGGCCGCCCCGGACGTTCATGTCTGCCCCTTGGTCCTCCAGAGGTTGGCCAAATCGGTTTGACAGTTCACAGGGAAGCTTACGTCCGACCAGCTTTGAGGGCGGCTCAACTCCCAACACCTAAAAAACAGCTCCCCACTCAGCCCGCACGAAGCGCGAAGCCCCGCTGACGAGTCGCCACACAGGGCCGAACCCCCGTAGCAGTCCTTGTGGCCTGTGGCCAGGTACATCATGTCCTTGGCTACTGTAAAACCGGCAGCTCCATTCTTTGTCCCAGCGAGACCTTCGGCTCAACTCCGCGTCCCCAGTTAGGTGGTCAAACTCTGGGCCTCCTTCGAATTGCCGAATGGGCATACACTACCAAGCCGAGGCAAACCTTGGAACACGAAACTCATTTAGTGCTGAGTTCAGTCAGGCCGTCAATCAACCCAAACTGGCCATGGGAACAAATGTGAGGCTCTCGTGCCTTCGAAGTCGGTCAACACAGGCCTCTCACTCCACCAGCTGTTCCAAAAAGACGGAAGAATTCCATATGCATTCCTGTAACGCATTGCGATGTTCACGGCATTTTGTGCCTGACTTTCTGATTGGAAGGAAGGAGTTTGCTGTTTGTACCTGGATTTATCAAGCTTGACGGTGGCCAACAAATGCCAATCTGTTGAGCACCGTATGCCATACACTCCCACACAACTGGACGCAAACATGTTGTCCGTCCCGAATGCCTGGGAATGGTTTAGCGCTTTGACCTTCAGAAACTGCTTCAAGGAAGAAACATTAAACCAACCACTTGCAGTGAGGTGCGATGTATATCTTTGAGACCAAAGTTTGAGTACTTTGCGGGAAGCGAACTTGTTCCTGCTCTGTGACCATGGTCTGAAGATGTTATGTCACGGCATGCAACCAAGAGCTGTCCCAAAAGCGTTCTTCAGAAGCGCTCGTCTTCAGCCTTAGCTATCTAGCTTATGCAATCCAAAGAATCAGCCCAGCTGGTATCCCCAGCCCACCCTCCTAGACCCTTCCCACAAAAAACGCCGCTTCGAGGCGGCGAAGCGGCTCCGAACTCCGAAGCCTATCTGGGCCTGCCGCACAGCTTTCAGCTGAATAAGTCTCGGAGAAATAGATGGCCCTGGTATGTGAAACAACCAGGTCAACCAGGAATCGCCGTCTATGTTCTACCAAAAGAACAAAATAGGACACCTGTCCTCCTAAGTGCAGACGTCCTCTTGAGGAACCCCAACTTCACTAAGGCTTCGGCAAGATCAGAAGCTACACCGTCATTGACATGGGAAGAGTCAAAGTGGTTCCCATTCGAACCAAGGAACGAACCTCATTGGGTGGTTTGGGGCTTTGAACCTGACCACCAAACCAACAATCCAAACCAACAAGTGGGAAGCCAACCCACTCCCCAAAAAAAAGGCGGTAAGCCCTCGCTGCCCAAAAAGCGAAAAAAAAACACCGAGCGCCCACCATACCCCCCCTCCCCCGTGCCCCCACCCCCCCACCCCCCCACCCACCCCACACCCCCACCCCACACCCCCACCCCCCCCCCCCCCCCCCCCCAACCGGCGGACCACGGCGCCGTCTTCTGCAGCAGCTCCTCGTCCTCCGCGGCGATGGGGCGCTGCTCTGCCGGCAGCGCGGCCCTCGCGGCGTTGGCACCCAGCGCCGCCACTCGGCCTCGGAGAGACCAGCGGAACCCACGGAACCGCACAGCGGTGCTTCGGGTTTTGCCCTCTGGGCCGTTTTTTGGGGTCTGTTTTTTTGGGGGGGAAACCCGGGCTTTTTTGGGGTTCCCTGTGCTTTTTGAGGGTCAGCCGTTTGAATTTTTGGGGGCACCCTGTTTGCTTGGCGTTCAGCGGAAAATAAGAAGGACATGTGTTGGGTTTTTTTTCTAGCGACGCAAAACCGCGCCCCCTCGCAGCCGTGTGAAAAAAAAGAGAAAAAGAAAAAACACTCCCGGCTCCTGCTTGCCTTCTTTAATTTCTGCGGCTGCCAATCAAATGAAGACACCAGCAAGCAGGCCGAGGCGCGGCGAGTGATGTACTTGGGGCAGTTGCCGAAGGCCTGCGCAAGGGTGGCTCGTCTTTTGGCAACCCTTTGGCAAGGGGAAACCCAAAGGAAACCCTTTGCGCCGTTTCGGGTCCCATTTTTTTTTTGGACAAACCCAGATTTCACGGAGGGGTGCCAACTGTTCATCCTATAGTGGTTTCCGCAACATGGAGATGTCTCATGCCTGCCTGGCCATTCGGCTGCGCATGGAGCGAGCCCAACTTCCTAAGGCCAACTCGCAAATACAAATCCGAGCTCCTCGCAGATGGAAAAAAATCAGGAGCCAGTGGCGCAGTTCTGTGAAAGTGGATAGGTGGGCTGTTTTTTGAGGGTACCCATTTTGGTGGTTTTAAAAAGGAATCCAATAACCAGCCCGTTGCCGGGTCCCCCCTAAAATGGGACACACCCAGATGGCCGACAATTCGGGTGTATCCCCGCCTGGAGGATCCTCATGGCCCAGCCGGTTTTCGTCAGCAGCACCTCCCCGTTGAAGCGGTTCCGGCGCCGGGACATGAGGTCCTGAAATGGATGACGCCGGCTATGCCTGTGGGGTTCTTTTCGGTGGAAGCGGACATCCAGGCCCCATGATCTGATTTTACCACTATCAAAGTCACCTAATTAAAGTGGGTCAAAGGAGAAAACCGCTCCAGTGTCTGCCTTTGATGACGCCTAGAAACACTTGAAATAATGCCCCCAGGTATGTAACGGGGGGGTGCCCGTGGCCGCCGGTCACTATGTTACCATTAAAAGCGAAAAAACGTTCAAGGCATTTTGAAAGCTGCAAAGGCGTGCGTCTGAGAAAAAGACAAGCCTGCTCTAGTGAAGAAACCTTTTGGAGGGTCACTGAGTCGTACGAAAAGAGACTTGATTTCGCCCAGGGCTGTTCAGCAGCCCGCGAAAGAGGCAATGCCCAAAACCGTGTTTCTCAAGGTGTGCAGGCCCTGCCCATGAAACCAAGTACCCCCCACCAATTGACATGGAATCCCTTTAAAAGGAAAATGATTTTCCAGGACACTCCTGTCAAGTTCCATTTTCATTGGTGGGTCGCGCCTACCAAAATCCAACCACTAGGAAGTGGCGTCTGCCGCTCTGCCAGTGGATGCCGAGCGTCGATGATGACCCCGCCCATCGGAGTACCTGTCTTCACCTCGGAACGGCTGAAGGCGGGCATCTGACAGACAGAACCCGCGAAGCATAGGCGACCTAAACCGGAAAAATCGATGGGTTTCGCTGGAAATGGGGCTCCGTCGTGATAAAACTCCGCCCACTAAAAGGGGGGGGCCGTTCACCAACCAGGAGTTTATGAATCCGGGGTTCCCACCAAGCATATGGCCGTAAAAATTCCAAGAGGGAACCCCTCAAGAATGGTTGGGGACATAAATCTCCATGTACGCCGGCAAACTGGTCGGAAAGCGTGCTTTTCCTCAAATTTTGGGACTGCTTTTTGGATAGTTAAAGCCAAACTAAAGTTGCGGGTGGCCCCTGTAAAGGACACACCCACATTGTACAACCAAATAAAGATCGCTTCTTGACGGCCATGCAAAACAGACAAGCACATGCGAATTGAAGAGATGGGACGCACAACGGAGATGTAGAAGAACTACCCCCCTCCCCCCATCTCGGGGAGTCACTCTACAAAAAAAAGCAGGCTTTGAGTTTTGAAGACTTAACTTGTCTTGAGACACCCCAAGCTTCAAACCATCTCAAGTTGAATTTTGCCGATGCGCAAACCACATCTTCAGAAAGCCGCTCGTTTCGAGACACTGCCTCCCCACCTGCTCCTCCACGCCACATGCTGGGAATGATCTTCGGTTGTTTTCACCAATGGGGTCCTTTTTAGCTAAGTCCCATTTAACGGGGAGGCTACAGAAAGAACCAACCTTACGCAAAATGATTTTGCAAAAAGCGGTTCCGTGGTACAAAGGGAACCAACCAACTCATAGGTGACCTTTTGGAAAAAATAGATGTTCATGGTATATGGGGCATAAAATCCGTCTAAACCAGTGGAACCCATCTATTTCATTGACCAAACTAGCCGATCAACAGGACACCTATGAACCAACCCACCAAGCTTTCCACGCAAGATGAGCTCTCCAAGCAGGGAAGTTGTTTTTGGTATCACAAATCTAGGGTTGATTCCCCATCCTTTCAGCCATCGTTCTTTTCAAAAACCAGCTGTGCTTCCCCTGGTTATTCGATGGTTTCTTGCAAAAAAGCATCCCTGAACAAAAACTTTTGAAGCTTCCCCTGGAACAATGGGAACCCATGGACACTCCAAAAGCTATACCTCTCAGAGCCAGCTGCTTCGTGCCCAGCCGAGAGCGAAGGGAACCGGTTCCCCCGGCCCATTTTCCGGTCGGAGGCGCCAAGCCCCGCAGGGCCGCGCCGTCCCGCGGGTCCAACTGCGCTCCCAGGTCGATCCGCCTCGAAGGGTCGAAGGGCCGAGACAGCTGCGGGAGCTGCGGGAGCCGCGGGAGGGAGGGGGGGGGGCGGAAGCTTCAAACTAGCTGGAATCCCTTGCTGGATGGCGTTCGAAGAAAATCGACCAAAAAGAGGTGCGGTTTGAAGACTCTTTAGAAAGAGACAAATACTGAAAAACAAACAACTTTGAGGCAGGATTTCTGTTGTAGGACATGAGGGACACCTCCGAATGGCATGTGTAACTCATGTTGGATCTATGGACAAATAACCAGGAAACTGGGAGACCCAGCATCCGGCAGGCCTCGAGAATTGTCGGGCCAACGTTCGCTCTCATATCCCACACCTTTAAGGGCCAAACCCATTTATCGAGTATTCCCAAAAAAAAGAAGGAGATGTCCATCCCAACCCCCATTTCCGTTATTGAAGGGGCGCCAGTGGTGGTCATTTGGAACAATGTGCAAATGTCACTGGATTTCGCCGATGTCACGTTCAAAAGTTGCATGTCACCGGCCAAGTTTGGAGGCGCAAAAACGGAAAATTGCATGCTCCTATCCCAACTCAGTGTATCGGTCAGGGCTCCCTATATTTCCTCCTCAAGCACAGGAGTCGCAAATTAAACTGGCAACGAAAAGGTGATGGTTTTGAGCCGCCCTTCCAGCATTCTTACCGGGAACCACCCCCACCTTTTGGGGGACCCCGTCCCTTCGTCACTCCCCCACGGAACCCGCGCCTGCCGTCGCTGGCGTCGGGATCCGCGAAGCCCGGGACCCCGAAGACGGCGCTGGGCCACACGTGGCCCGTCCGCGGGTCCAGGAAGGAGGCCATGAAGTGAGGCTGCGGGGAGATCATGTCTCTGTACCGCTCCGGGATGACCTCCAAACGCCAGAGAAAAGAAAAAATGGGGAAAAGCGAAAACGCGCAGTGTTCAGCCGCAAAGAAAACGCGGAAAGAAAGGGATGACCTAAACGCGGAAAGAAAAACACGCGGAGCTTCAACCACAAGTGGAAACCGCAGAAAGGGACATGAGTGGAAAGCCCGGAAAAGGACGTCTTTTCAGGTGAAAGTAGAAAGGGACCAACAAAAATGGGTGGAAAGCCAAGAAGACCCCAATGGCTCGAAAGGAATAAAGCAAACCTTTGACCGGCTGGAAAAAGCGGGGCACTGCCAATGTGTAAGGTTCTCTGACTCCCCACCAGAACCCTCAGCTACCTTTGGCAAATGGATGATCTCTTCGTTTTGGTGTTGCCGGACATGAAACTAGTTGGCGTCCTTTAAAAAGAGAGGTCTCAACTCTTGGCACATGCAGTCAGGTGAAAAGGGATCATTTGGTCCAATGGATTCAAGCTGTGGGGTGCTCCCCTTCTTGCGGTTTCAAAGCGATGCCAACAAAGCTCTTTTGGGATCCTTTTTGGGTATGCACTGCAATTGGGGACCCTGTGGTGGACATCTTTTGAGGGGTTCTCTATCGTTAAGATTCAAATCGCCACATCCCGATTTAGGGATCCAAATCAAATTTTGAGAAACAACGCAGACCGATCGGGCGCCGTGAAAATGACTCGGGGTCTGGCAACTTTCTCTTCCTGAGCCGATTTCGATGGTACCCCTCTTTTGGGACAGCAAAACCAAGGGAATGCCACCATTTGGGGGTCCCCCATTTGAAGACATGGCACACGGGAGCTTATGAGCAAAATGCATAAGAAAACCGGTCATGCAATCTCAGCCAGCCTTGTGGTAGATGTGGGGGCCCATCTCATCACTTGAAGCCACCGTGTTCTGCTTCAGTTGCATCTGCCTCTCTCCCAGATGCCAGGGCTGATCTGGGCGAACCAAAGCATCCGCCATGAGAGTGGGGGGCACTGTCAGCTCGCTCGGCGCGAGCTTTCTGTCTCAGAGTGCTGCGGCTGATTTTGATACTTCCACTCAGGGCTCCGTTTGTTTGACTCGGTAGACTTAAATCCAATGCTGATGTCTCAGGAAATCCAGAAGGGGTTTGAGTCTACCTTGGGGTAAAGCAAAAATAGAACCCGGCGTCCACCCCCTTGCCACTCGGCGAGTGTGGCTCGTGATCGAACAATTCCCCTTCATGCGGAAGTTGATTTCTGATGCAGGTTGTCTGGTCACAAGTGTCGGCAAAAATGGTGGCTGCCAGCAATACTCTGTGCAAGTTGTGCTCCCAAGCAGCGCTCAGCGACAATAGAAACTGCATGGCTTTCCACAAGAACTCGCTATTGCCGTTGTTGTTTTTCTTTCTTTCTTCGGCCTTACCCGAGTGTTTCTCTCAAGCTTCAGGACCCCTCCAGCAGATTAGTCTCCTGCCCGGCTTGCCTTCAAAACACATTCACCCCGTTTGGAGACACGCCCGACCCTCCAAGCGCCTCTCTGGAGAGTTCCCAGAGCGACCGCAGAGACTCCTGCGGCAAAATACCGCCTCGCGAAACGCGTCGCGCAAGGCCATGCCAATCGCCGCAAGACGTGTGAGGACAGATGGGTGTGTCATTTTTGAGGCTACCCCGTTTTGGCTCAGTTTAAGGAACACCAAAAGGAAAACCATCATTTGTTGAGGTCCCCTACAAGAAGACACACCTATATATATATATTTTGCGCGTCGGTGCAATCCAACAGGCTAAGGCAACTTTGGTCTGTGCGGGAGCTTCTTTGCTGTACCTGAAGCTTACCTGAAAATCTGGACAACTTGCATCGGCATGTTCGCTGTGCGCCAGCACCTTGGCTGTCTCTGCGACCGTAGGCCGCGCCCTTTGCGCGACCCGGCCGCTGGAGCGGAAAACCTTGCAAAGCAACCTCGGTGGCTTGATGATCCCTATCCAAAAGTCAACTTCTTTGTGGGCTTCCAAACGTCTAGTCTGAGGACAACCAGCCTTTCACAAGAAGTGTCCAGAGCAAACAAACAAAAAAAGAAGAGAAGGAAAAACTTCGCCCAACTTCGGCCTACTTGTTCCCTTTTCCGAGGCACTAGGCCCCCTCCTTGGCCTTCTCGTTGAACCGCTTCATGATGTTCTCGTCCACCCAGGGCGCCATGGCCAACGCGGCGCCGAAGCGCAGCGGCAGCAGCAGCCGGGCGATGTTGGAGGCGGCGAAGACCAGCCCGAAGACCGCGGCGCTCTCCTGACGCGACCCGACGCGACGGGCGGGGCGGGGGCGGGCAGCGCCTGCGGCCAGCGGCCAGGTGCCCGTTGGCTGTGGCGAAAGCGATGGGGTTTTTCAACGCCCCAAGATGTGTGTCAAAAAAGGGGCCGGAAGAAGGATCCGTAGAAAATGGGCTGGAAAAAGAAAAAGGACTCGAAGCAACTGGCCGACCCTCACCTTGGAGGGGCAGCTTCCCATTTACCCTCAAGAAGGGGTTCAAAATCAAAATCCAAATCACCAATCCAAACCACCAGTTTCGGGGTACCGGAAAGTTGAAACACTTGTCGTCAATTTAGGGGGCCCATTTCACCATGGGTAGTTCCAAGGGTGTGTCCCCCCCAAAACAAAAACAGATGGTATCCTCCAAGCCGGCTATGCAAGCCCTTAACATGGCTTAAACGCTTGGAGGGACTGCAAAAGTCTGTGCGAACAAAGGCCCCTGGAAACTTTGGCTCATCAAACACCTGTTGTTTAAGCATCCTTCGTTTGGCAAACGGGAAGCCAGGGTCCGGCTGTTGAGACACATTCTGCAACCAACGCTGCTCCTCGGGCTTGCTGAAGTCAGGCCAGTGTCCGGCCGTGTTGAGGTAGACGATGCACTCCGTTGGGAAGGCAATGGCCCAAAAGAGCAGCTCCGTGATGACGTAGGACAAAGTGCCGGCGGCACCATACTTCTTCACATCATCCATGGAGATGTTGCCATAGGTGTCCGGCTCCCAAACGTTGAACGGCTTCTTGTCTTCCTCTTTGTCCTTCTCCTGCGCTCGCAGGGCTGTGCGAGGCAGTGCTGCGCAAAGCCCGGCCACCGCCCACACGCCCACCACCATGGCACTCATCGGCTCCGAAGCAGCGCCGCCCGCGGCCGCCTGTGGCGCGGCCAACGACGCCTGGGCCGGCGCCGGCGCCTTTGCCGCGCGCGGCGGGGCAGCCACGAAGGCAGTAGCCCAAAGTGCCCCCGCGCAGGCGAGAGCTGGGAGAGCGCGGCGAGAGAACGGCATTGCCAAGGAGACCAGTCGCTTTGCCACGGCTTTCTTGAGCCAGCGAACTATGACGAGCTAGGAACCATGTAAACGTGCCTCAACCAAGACGCTGCCAGGTCCCCTCGGCACTTGGGCATCCGAAAGCCGCCCATCCCGAAATGGCGGTTTTCCCTGAGACACATTTTGAGGACCTTTTTTTACAGCAGGCAGACCTTCGCTTTCGAGAACCCCCGAGGTGTCCAGAGAGAACTCGCAAATTGGTCCAAAAAGGGCGCCTGCGCCTGGACCACTTTGCCTGAAAGATTCATGCCACTCTGCTCCTCTCTGAAGGGTTGAAGTACCAACTCCTAATGGGTTCTTTTCTGTTTTGCTTCTACAATGTTGCCTAGAAATGAGCGCCTGGCATTTGTCCTGCCATTCACCCAACTTCAAAAGTATGAGGTCCCATTCACGGAAAGTTGCCTTTCTGTGTCATGCAATCTTCCTGATAAAGTAGGACGTCCCTACCTTACCACTTCTCGTATCACAACAATTGACCCAAGTCTAAACGCAACCATGGAGTGGATGCCTGTGCCCCCCTAGCTGAAGCCTCAAGGGTTCCTGGATTTCCCAACAAACAAGTTGCCACTTTTGGAGGACTAAAGAAGGGAGATTGAGGCACTGAGCCGCCAATTTTCGATTGGTTAGAGCTGCTGTAAATAGGCGTAGTCCCCTGCCAGCTCATCCCTCACATCTGCCAGAGACGGGGACAAGCTGGGCAGCTCAACCAAGGACTTCAAGTCCGTTTTCCTGACTGGAAAACCCAGAGATAGACAGTTTGCTGAGTTGATCAGGAAAATGATGAAAGCCCAAAAAGACCAAAAACTAAACTGTTTGCTGGATAAAAAGACACAAAAAAAAGAAAAGAAAAAAACACACACAAAAAAAAAACACATGAAAGTCTGGACGTGTCTCCTGGCGCACCAGCCCCTGAACTGCTGGGGGTCAGCGTCCGCGCTGCTCGCAAAGTCCTCGAAGACGTGGCGGAACTCCTCCATCCCCGGCAGGGACGCCAGCAGCAAATCCCCCTCTCGGCTGATGGGCGTCTTTGCGCCCTCGTAGGTGAGCCATTCACCCACCTCCGGTCTTGAGGCGAGGGCACCCCCTTTTCCCAGGTTGACGTGTTTTTCTTTTTCTCAGGGGGAGCCACAAGCAAAGCCGAAGCCCATGTCTGGGGCCCAAATCCCAAATTTTCACACCTCTGGCCTTCCGCTGGTAGAAGAAGACCTGGCCCGCAGCCGCCACGACAGGCTCTCCCGTGTCCCTGAGGTGCACGGAGAGCAGGTCCGCGGGCTCGCAAAAGTGCGCGATGCTGGTCTCGTACCTTGGTGCGTGTATCCCATTAAATGTGTTCTTTAATAGTGGCATTTGGGTCTGTCTTTTTTGGAGGGTTCCTGTTTCTGGTGGCCTTGAAGGGGTTTCCCTCAAACCAATTTGGGGGCACCCCCCATTTAGAGACAAACCCATATGTCATAAATCCCCACTTTTTGCTCTGGTCCAACAGTCTATGGCACAGAAGCTCCGCATGATCAAAGACCAGGATCCGCGCATCTCGCAAAAGTGCCGCCAGATACCCCGAAGCAGCGACCACCTGAAGCCAGAGAGACCAGTGCAACTTGGAACTGGCAGTGTCCTACGCAGATCCCTTCCCAACCAAAAGGGTGGGGGCCTCTTGTAGTCCAAAAAAAATACCTTGCAGAAAGGTGAGCCAACCCGAGCCCATGCCACACCTTGAGCGGCTGCAACCCTTCCACGGCCCGCTTGGCTTCCGCCAACGGTCCCCGCAGCGCCTCTTGCGACGGAAGCGACGCTTGCGGCGCCGCTTCTGGCGGCACCCCTTCCGGCGCCGCCGCTTCCGGCGTTGGCGCCGGCTCGGCCACCACCGGCGTGGGCGTCACACGACGGCGCTTCTTCTGCGTCGCCATGTCGCTAAGTGTCTCAATATTGTGTCTC